TAATATGATAGTCCTGGGACTGATGCTAAATCATAGTGATTAAATGGATTTTTACAGCTTTTGTGATTAACTTCTCTAATGTCAAAGGTAAGATTTGTTCTTATCCTTGCTGTGACTTTCCATTTTCATTATCCATAGGTAATGGAGATTCAGCATCCACAAAGTTTTTTTCCAGCAAAAGCAATTCCCTTTGAAAAGTAGGTCTATGCTTAGGTATTTCATAATATCAGTGCTACAGTTAATATTACTATTTTGTATTATGGCAGTTCAGAAAGGAGGTGATCAAATTTGTGTTTCATAGAATCACAGACTGGTTAAGGTTGGAAGGGACCTCTAAAGGTCATCTGGGCCAATCTAGCTGCTTAAACAATTTGTGGGATTAAAAAACAAGGTAAGAGATTAGGCAGACATGATTAGAGATGTAGGCAGGGAAACAGCAGAGTTTCAATAAATGTCCAGGTCTCCAGACTGACATCCATGGTTGCTCTGAATGCAACTTCCTCAGTGGAAACTGCAGAGCGTAACTCTTCCTTCTGACTGTTGTGTGTAGAACTTGAAGCTGGGAAGTTGAACCACATGATCCAACACTGATTATATGATCCAAGGTCGCTACGTTGCTCCGCAGTCTTTATTTCAAACAAGTCTAACCAAGGGATATTTTTACTTTGCTGCTTCTACTGTACCTTCCACTGTGCCTGCTTCCCTTCCCTGGGCTTCATGCAGTGCTTAGCAGTGCCATAGCATCCCTCCTGTCAGAGAGCCTCCACACCTGGAGCATCTGCTGTCTTTGGCTCCTTCCAGATATATCAACTTCTTCCTATTTTGTTTTCATTTCCAGTACTTTGGCATCTAATTTCCCATATGCTGCTCTTGCTTTCTCCTGCTGTTTCTGTGGGTTCATCTGCACAGATGAGTTGCCAGAGTTTAATGCATCAGTGAAGCCGTGGTAATTCTGCAGGACCTTAGTGATGAAAGTGTCAATTTAAACTTTCTTGATTAAATCTCTTTCTTAACATTGGTGTGGATGTGTGGGACAGGCAGAAGCAAGCTTGCTCTGTCTGCAAGCCTGCCTTGCTCTAGGTGTTCTCAAGCTTGTATAGTCCATCTTTCAGTAAACTGCAGTTACTCAATGTGCCTGGCCTCTTTCCAGCAGTGGTAATACCAGTGGGAGTTCCCTGGCTTGTGTTTCTTGTTTCTTCAGTGCCTCTCAGTTTTCAGAAATGCCAGACACAGTATGATTGTTGAGTTCAAGCTGCAAACTAAAGACTACAGTGTGTACATCTGCAGATTAAAAACATTTAGTAACAACAGTACTATTACACTAATTAATTTTCAGTTCTCTGTAAAGGCAACCTTAGATTTATTCATTAATTTCTCAAGAATTACAAAGTCTGTTCAAAAAGGCTGACATCCTTAGAAACTTTGGTGGAGTGGACTTGGCATGACAGATGGGCTGGAGCAGCCCCTTGTGAAAAATGGGCACTCTGAACTCTGATTGCACCTTACTGATGGGCTTTTTTTTTTTTTTTTTTGACTGAGAGCTACAAAGCCTGGCATGATGGGCTGCTTCTCTGTTGCTGAAGGAGGTAACCTGGGAACCTGATGCATCCAGAATTGTCTATAACACCTGCTTGAAGGGGGGGAATTATCCTATTCTTTAAACACTGGATATTGTTGCAAAAAAACCCCAAAACCTCACTCTAAAAGAGAAGAGGGGGAAAAGTGTTTTCAAGTGCTTAATTTCCTTCATTAACTGTGCATTTTCAGTATATAATCAAAAGATTAGTATGAGGATTCTTAAATTTGTGGAAATGTCTCCAGGTTTTTTTTTTAATGTATACCAACTCTTGATAGAACAACTTCATAATTTTTACATCTCAGAAACAAACACTATTAAAGATTTTCTGTATATACCCAACTGTGGTGGGTTGACCTTGGCTGGACACCAGGTGCCCACCCAGCCACTCTATCGCTCTATCACTCCCCTTCCCAGCCAGACCCAGACTCCCACCCAGGGGAGAGAGTAAGATGGAAAACAACTCATGGATTGGGATAAGGCAGTTTATTAAAGCAGGAGCAAAGCGGGGGCTTGTGCACGTAAAAGCGAAGCAAAAGATAGCAGGGTTTATTTGCTACTTCCCATGAGCAGTGATGGTCGGCCACTCCCGAGAAGCAGGGCTTCAGCATGTGTTCCTCAGCAGACTGCCACTGGAGACAGTGAATGCCTGCCTTCCCACTCCTTTCCTTAGCTTTTATATCTGAGCTGACGTCACATGGCATGGAACATCCCTTTGGTCAGTTTGGGTCAGCTTTGGCCTACTTGTGTCCCCTCCCAGGATCTTGCCCTCAGTTGAGGAAGGAATGTTACAGCACAGACACTGTGCTGCCCTGCTCAGCAGTAGCCAAAACACCGGTGTGTCATCAATGCCCTTCTGGCTACCAATGCAAAGCACAGCACTGTGAGGGCTACTGTGGGGAAATGAACTCCAGCTCAGCCAGACCCAGTACAGCAACACACTTAATTTGTGTGGCTTTATAATTGCCTGTATTTATTTGCTTTCTAAGATACAGTACTTGCTTAAAAATTCTGAGGATACACAGGTGCTTTTGTAATTTTTGTTATGTTTTAGAAAATAAGCTAGGACTGCACAACTTTGTCACTTGCAGGACCTGCAGTATTCACTGTGATTGTATAATATCACAACCTAACTTTTACTACCACATAGGTTTTTTACCTTGTCAGGAGGAACTTAAAAAGACTGATGTCTTGTTATTTAAATATACAGATAGGGCTACACAGGCTGGTATAAAAGATGGGAATACTAAAATAAGTAAACATAAGCAAATTGATTTAGTAGTTATCATAATCTATGCAAGTGCCCTTTTAAATTTTTGAAGTTTGGTTGCTATGCCGTGAACATCATTGCCCAGCACTCAAGCTTTGGTAGCTTGGCATTTGGATTTGCAGAATTTCTCTGCTTTGTTTTCCACAGAAACTAAAACACATTGTTTATTTATGGATAAACAATAAGCTTCCAGTTGAGGATATATAACCTGTGAGTGCAATGAGCAACCAGAAGGAATGTTGCTGGCAGACAACAGACAATTGTTGTATGGGTTAGGCGGTAGACATGCTTTTATGTGATTCTTTATTCTTTGCTTTTTTCGACTGTATAGATAGTACATTATACATTGCTGCTGACAACTGGCAATTTCTGACTTCCCTGTAGAATTGGATTTTGAGAAGATTTGGATGTGTGGAGTTAAACATGGCTTCCCGAAGCCTTGCCTGGTGGAAGTAAATGGGAGTTTCATAGTACGTGTCAGCAGGCCAGGACTTGACATTTATTGTTATTTTCCTACCCTTAAGAAGAAAAAGGAAGGTGTATTGGGAGATCAGAGATGGAATCATTTTGGTTGCTAAAACGGGGCAGGATGATGTAAGTTTTGACAGGCAGTTAGCAGTTTAATTTAGAGCACCTTAAGAAGTGAGGACACATTAATGTTGGCATTTTGATGTCTGTCCTTCATGAATCTTCCTCTCTTCAGGAATACTGCAAGATCCCTTGCTAGGATCTCAGAGTGTGCATCTGAGATGAGCCAAGATGAGGTGTTGCAGTCAAACCTGCGTGGACACAGACACGGGGTCCTCCATCTGAACAGTTTCACTGTGGAGGTCCTCTCCTGCTGCACCACAAGTTGGTTGCATAGGCATGGCCTCAAATAGTTGTACTAGGGAAGAGGAGCTGAGGAAGGGATCTGGGAGGCTCTAAATGCCTTGTCTTAGCCAACAGGCGAGAGGGTAACATCCAGCCATAGGCACTGTCATTTATGGCTGGTAGTGTCTTAAATGGCATCTGAGCATATTGTACATCAAGGATTATTGATTTGAAATAAAAAGCGGATTATGTTTACAATAGAAAAATGAGAACCACTACAATTTCTGAGGCTGGCACATCTGGGCATTAAGACAACAATTGGACATTAAAGCAAGCTGCAATTTGACCAAAAAAGAAAAAAAGTGAGCTTTGACATTTTTGATGGTTATTACTGTGTGATAGCCTGTTGGCTGTGAGGTGTTTGAGGGCTTGAATATTCAGTATTTCAGTCAGCATAAATTAATAGGACAAGATGAAACGTGCTTCTACAGCATGAACAAAAGTACTCGTGTTTTCTTGAGGGTTTATTTAGCTCTCCCTGAGAACATGGGCATAGTATCTGTGTTCATTTGATCTCTGTGAAAAATGGTAGAAGGCTTCATTTCTCCTCCCTTTTCATTTTCTTCAGTTGAATTTTTTATGAGTTATTGTTTATGTGGGAGGATTGATTCCTTTCAGAGAGAAGTAGAACATTCTGTCAAATTCTCCTGTTGGATGCAGATTCACATCCCTGCAACGTGGTGCTAAGGAACTTCAGAGCAATCACATTCTGGTTAGACAAAAGTAATACCACAGAGAGGGTTTCGTGAGCTTCAGTGGCACTGAAATAAAACTACAAAACCTAAAATCAGGAGGTTGCAAGTGTCACTTGCAACATGTTGGATGCCATAGATTAATTCCGTATGACCTTTAACGGGAGTGAAAATCTATTTGATTTTGAGCTCTCTTTCCCTAGACAGTACACTGAGTGCTAAAATCCTATGGATTGGCATAAAAATAGATAGAGCACAAAAAAGTGGCTGAATTTGAAAACCAGATTAGTTTAAATTAAAAATGCAAACCCCACTTCTAGCAGAGTATGACTGACCATTGAAAATATAAACAGCCAAGAGAATAGCAGTTCATCTGTTGATGTCCACCGGTCAAAACTTCAGTCAGGTGTGAGTTATGCCTTGGTTATGCCTGATTTCCCAGGATAATTGGATGTCAGTCTGCAGCTGCATTATGCAGGAGGTCACACTTGATATTTGTTATGATCTTTTTCAATTTAAAATCAGAAACTATAACATGAGCCAAATTGAAATAAATGGTGTTCGTATTTGTCTCTCCCTCCCCTCATAGGTACTACAGTGCTACCATTCTGCAGATGTCAGGAGTGGAAGATGACAGGCTTGCAATCTGGCTGGCTGCACTGACAGCATTTATAAACTTCATTTTTACTCTTGTGGGAGTCTGGCTTGTTGAAAGAATGGGTCGCCGGAAACTTACACTTGGTAGCTTAACAGGTGAGTGTTTCATTAGTGTTTAGTATCTTCCTTATAATTATTAATGAAAGGAAAATAAAATTTCAAGTGCAATTTTTTTCAAAGTAGTCCTCTTTAAAATTACAGTGTTGTTGGCATCTTCTCCCTGAAATCATTCAGCCTTTCAAGACTAGTAGTATAGTACCACAGTTAAAGGCTAATTTAAAAATGACAGCATGTTATTTTTTCAGGTGAGTTTCTTCTTCAAGCCATGTTTAACAATGTTTTTATTTAGCTTTAGCTTTTTTTTCCAATTTAAGGAATCAAGTGCTTGGAACTTCACAGCTGGTTATTTTTTAAATCTCCTATGTAATTCCTGGCTGATAAACTGGCATTCAGAACCATCTCATGAAGAAGTACCAGGGAAAGCATATTGCATAACCATTGCAGCACTTCTTAAAAAACAATGCAGTTTTTGCATAGTTACCTCAGATACAATGCAGTAAATACCTTACATACATTAGTGTTATTTTAATTCATCTCCTGTATGAGATACTAAAGGGCAGAATTCTGGATTTGTACATTTTATCCAAATATTCAAACACCGTAACTCTTGGAAGCAGGAAAATGCAGAGCAAGCACCCACCCTGTGTCTAGTATGTCCTGCCATTAACCTGCTAATTCCCTGTTTATTCCTGCATCATGGGCTCATTCTGGCTGAAGTGATCTGTGACTGATGCCTGCCTCTGGCTGAATGTCTGGAAGGTTCAGATATTTCCAAGAACATGGTTTCGAAAAGAGAAACAGTTCCTTCTCCTCTTGAAATAATGTTCAGAAGTGTTTGGCTGGGAAGGTTTAATGTCTCCATATTTTGTTCTGTTGTTGCTGTCAAGGATCCAAACTTCTAGTTAGTGCAACACAGCAGAGTGGGACCAGCAGTTCCCAGCTACCAGTTGATTTAATCTACACTCGAGTATTTGAATGTGTTTATATAGGCAGAACAATGATAACCCAGTGACATGTCTGGGTACACAGATATGTTTGGTACACAATTACTCAAATCTTTAAATTAAAACATGCAGTTTGGAGGCAGTTTGGTGTTCCAAGTTGCAATAAATGTGTATTTGCTTGGTTATAATTTTGATTTGGAGTCAAGAAACCTGAAGTGTTTTTCACAATCCAAGTTCAGAAATGAGGTCATGACAGAGGAGATTGTAAAAGCACGTTACTCACGTCTTAAAAGATATCAACAAAAATCTCAAATTGATACTTTTATCACAGTCTGCATGCAGCTCTATTAAAATACCTCTCCCCCATAAGTTCTTTGATTCCTCCAGCCAGTCTGTTTTCTTGTCTTTCTGTGAAGCAGATTTCTCCAGGCCCTGCACTGACGCTTCTGGTGCTTGAGTGCCACCTCTCCTTTGTACTCTGTTGGAACAGAGTATTTATTTATTTGTTGATTTGGCCCTAATAATCTCAAATGTCAAGCTAGCCCCTCAGAAGTTTATCTGGACTCAGCTGTAAAGCTGTTATTCCCACATGGACTTTTCATGTGATCAGAGCTCTTTGCTTTTTGGCTCTGTTTAACATATTCAAAGGCTGTACATGTGAAATGTAGATATAAATGTCTCTTACAAAGCATATTAGTCGTGGAACAGAGTAGGATATAGAAATAAGACATAGAATTAACAATGCATTAAAAGATTATTTGCTAATGATGTGTGGACACAAAGTAATTGTTTTGTAAAAATGGTCTTCCTTTTGTGGTCAGTTGCTGGTGCTCGGTCTGCAGCATCACTTGAGCCGTGCTGCATTGCTTCCTGTGGTTTTTATCATGCAGCCCCTCCTTAAGGAAAGTACAAATAATGACAATAATGAAAGCATATGTCATCTCTCTGTACCATTTAGAATTTTTTTATTCAACAGTTGAAACTTTGATTTAGGTAGTGGTGGATATGATCTGTTTTCCTTAACAAGAGTGCTGTGTAATAGAATGATAATTACTAAATCTGCTGATGGATTTGTTTTCCATGTTGAGTTTTCTCAAGAGGTAAACATATTTTTTACTGCTCTGCTTTGCATTTCCAAGGACATTAACTTTCACACTGAGTTATTACTGGCAGCTTGTCTGGTCTTTGGGGAAGCTGGGTATGCCCCAGTCTCTCATTGCACAAAATGAAAACAAAACTACTATTTTTGCCTACTGCTGCACAGCTGTGGGGTTTTGTTTTATCGATAAAGGCTAATTTATTAGATGTTTATTAGAGGAAAACCTGCAAGAATAACCAGAAGAGAGATAGTAACATTAATATTTTGATTAAAAGCCGATATACTGTAATTTCATTTTGTAAACTCATGTGCTTTTCCTGCTTTCTGAAAACTTTGAGAAAGAGCTATTTTACATTTCATTTAACGTGTCTTTATAATTTTAAAAATATTAGAAACTTTTGAAAAATTGAGCCCTTCATATAGTGTTAAGAAAATTATAGTAAACTGCTACTAAAAAAAAAATGACCTTTTTCTTTCTCTTTACTACAGTTACTGATTCATCTTAGTTTCACATTCATTTTATAACTTGTTATCATTTCTTCATCTTTCTTCTTTTTCTTTAGTTAACTTCTTTCTTCAAAGCTGTTAATTGGGAAACATGCAGGAATTTTGACAAGTGTGTTATCCATTTTATTTGTGGTTTTCTTTTTCCCCTTCAGAATTTGTCAATTTGAAAGCAGGGTGGTACTTGGGTATTGGACAATTTGTGTCTTTTTAAAAGAGAGAGGATCTAAAATATCTTCAGGATATTTCTGGGTTTTTTTCCCATCTCAGCTAACGATGTGCTATAATTGTTTGGTTTTGTTCATCATAGCACAACTTCCCACAGAATGAAAACATATGAAACTTCATTTGCCCAGGTTTACATATTGCGTACTTTTCCAAAGAAATAAGACATTTACAGAGGTTCTGGAAGTGAATGTTAGTGTATTTGGTTAACTTGAAAGACAGACAAGGCATATTTAAAATGAATATGAGTAAGATTGTAAGCCCTGTCTAAAGATATTTTCTGTCTGGTTTATGGCATTTTGAAAGTACAGTAAATCTAGTGTAACATCCAACCTGCCCAGAATACTGGTATTATTAGCGTACCTACCGGCCATAGCAGTACAAAGCCAAATATGGAATAAATTGAAATATCTTACGGTGAGTAGGTGCTTTTTCCACACACAGTTTGTGATTGAGTTTAATGTCCTAGTTGCCTCAGTTCAGGTAAATGTGTCATTCAGCCTTCTGCACTTCATGCACATTCCTTCCTGTTAGCCATAACTGCTGCACAGGCACATTCATGGATAATTATATTACACGTCTTTGTACTTAAGATATTATTTATCTCTCGGGAAAAGGTTTCCACATACTCGGTAGTTTGCCAGCTGGGAAAATCTCGCTTTTCTCTTTAAAAAAACATTCAAACCCACCCCCAAAACTGCCAATATGTCCGTTCTGTTCTCCGCCCAGCAAAAATAGTTTAAACTTCAAAATAAAGACCAGATAATGCATAATTTCTCAAAGATTACCAGACTGACATGTTGAGGGTTTTAGTGTAATGGCATTTCTAAAGGTTCACACAGATGCGTTACTGAGAAAATTATTTACATGCTTTTAACGTACAGAGCAAAGAGATGATAAGTATTTGGAATTTAATACAATGTCTTTCATTTGCCCTTAGTCATTAAGCTATATCACTGCACACTTGTAAATGTGTGCTACCTTCCTGCTGGGATGTGCTTCTGTGGTCCGTGAGTCTGGTTTTATGCAGTAAGAATAACGTTATTGCGTGATCATCACTAACTCACAAGTAATGTTATTACTCATTTTCTACTGCTATTACTAGATCAGGCCATACATGTTGTATATGACCTCTCAAATAAAATATGCCACATAAATAGTGAGTATTCAAATAGGTATACAGGGTATTTTGTACAACGTAGATCTCAATGCATCGTTGAGTAGCAGGATGTAAAGGTTTTATTAGGTCTGAGTTTGAAGCACTTGCAGTAGTATCATGAGTAGTGAGGTATGTCAGTTTTCATTAAAATGATGCAGTATATTGTGTGTGTGTGACAAATAAGGTAGGAAAACTGTGAGTTGTGTTGTAGTAATGGCCTGTTGCACAAAATACAAACCTCTTTTGTCATCTTCCTCTCCTCATTTTGCCCAGCTCTTGCACAAGGAATTTTTTGGGGGAGACAGGAGCAAACAGATGGAAAGAATTTTTCCTAGCAGATGTTATGTGTGCTCTTTGAAACAAGATCAGAAATTGATGTTGGACTTTTTGATGTTGTTTTTATTAAATGTCAAATTTCTCTCATTTCACAAAGGGAAGTAGAGTCAACAAAAAAGCTGATGCTATTTTCTTTTTTACAGAAAAGTCTGCAAGTCTGGGTGTGGGAGTGGGAAGAAGTGTGGTGATTTCAAAGTCACTGTTAAACTTTACCTTTACAGTAATGTTTTAAACACCAAAAATAATATTATCTGTTCATTCATGCAGTTGTCAATTCCACATATTACAGAAGTGTCAACTTATTAATTTAATATCTGGATATTAAACTCGATGCACTCGACTTTAACATTTAACCTAATTCAAGATGTGGATGTAGCAAAGGGTATTTTCTTAGGTTCTCATCACAACTCCTTAGCGAATGCTGTGTGCATAGTGATGGAGTGCCTTGCTTTTCCAAGCAGAGTTCAGTTCAATAGAGAATTATATCATGTGCTCTAGAGAAAAGTATCACATTGTTCTTTATCTGTATTTTTAGGTACTGCTGTAGCACTCATTATCCTAGCTTCGGGATTTTTGCTATCAGCTCAGGTCTCGCCAAGAATCACACTTAATCCACCAGATCCTTCACATCAAAACTCTACCTGCACAAAATACAGGTGAGATTTCATGATCATTCATCCAATCTTCTTGAAGATTGTTTCCATTTAATTGAGTTTTACAACTTAGTGGAGTAATAGACAGTTATTCACAAAGCCTGGCACAAGGAACTAAACTAAATAGCTAAAGGTTAAATCCTAACTTCCCTCTGTAGAGAAGATTAGACCCTGATTAAATTCTCTGAATAATCCTTTGGAGTTTCTTGGACTAAATAAGATGGTTAAGTGGCAAATTCCACATTTACCTCCTCTGATATATCACACTTGCAACAAGTCATAGTGTACACAAAGTCAGGAATATTTCACAAGGAATTTGTAAAAATACTTGCTGTTATTCATCTGCTTGTACATTTGTCATGCATAAAAGCTGTAAACTCTTCAAGAATGTGTGTTTCTTGCCTGTGGTTTTCCTGAGCAGAAAAAAAAAAATCTTCAGTTAATTACATACCAATTAATAATTAAAATAAATGTGATGCTTTTGACCTATTTTTCTATAGTAGGTAGAAGATGCACTTCCATATGCAATCATAGTTTCAAGTAACATTACTTCTGGGGATTTAGGAATGTGTAATATTCTGTATTTTGTGAGTTTTATTCACATGTGAGTGCTCTTTTGTTCAGTTAGCTGGCAGACTAGAAGTTTCCCTATTCAGAGAAGACTAGTTCAATGGCTGAAGAAATTCTTACTTATGTTCAAAATCTGTTTTACAAGTGTTTGTAATAGAAATAAATGCCAAGAAAGGAGAGCCACACTTCTAGTTTCCTAGCAGTATTGGCTGGTTCATGGCTTTTCTTATGCTAGAGCAATGTCTTAGATGAAAGATTCTAAGGATCTGGGGAGGGGGTGGAAGGTATTCATTGAGTATAAATAGATACTAATAACTGCAACATGAGATACTACCAGATATAAGGATTTCTACATGCAAAAACCTGTATTTTTACTTGGTTTTTACTATGGAGCTATACAGCAGTATTTTGCAATTTTTGAGATGGGCATGTCTACAAATGGTGAGTAGTCTGGTTAAAAGATGTAAAGGAGGAAGAGCTACCAAATGCTCTCCTTTTGCAATAATATTTCCTTAAAAGAAGAATGTGAGAAGGATTTGCCTAGGACTTCAGTTAACTGTGTGGAAGGGAAATTTTTAAAATTGTTTTAGTCATGAGAAAGTAGCTGGTATTTTCACCGTTCCACTTGGGTTAGAAGTTCAGCATAACATGCATGGTCTTGGAAGGAAGAGATGGAGTCTGCAAACCAAAGGAAAGCTAAAGGCTGGGTTTTATGCCGTGTGGCTCACCTCTCCCTCCTTTTTGGCCCTGGACGTATTCCCTATGGCAATTATGGAGTTGAATCAAAGAGATTCTCAAACCAGAGGATTTGGAAGTAAAAGTCTACTCTGAATAATGCCAGTGTTCCATATTTTCTTTGCTACTCCAAGAACAATACTGTATAGATAGCCTCCACCTAGGGCAGCAAGTGTTACTGCAGAGATAGTTACAAACAGGATATCCAGTCAAAGGAGGTAACAATGGCAGTGGTCTCTTGCTGTTTAACCTATATTTTAGCTTGCACCACTGTAACTGTTGGTATCTCAGATTGCTTAGCATTGTCTCTTGCAAGCCTTCAAGAGGTCTCAGAAAGTTTGGGAAAAGCAAAAGGCAGCAGGACTTCAGAAGATGGACAAGTAATGCCATCTCACTGTAACTGCTTTTGAATATGTGTGCCTACACAAATGCAGCTCACAGTCTTCTTCATCTAATGGTGACACAGTGCTTCTGTGAGGTGAGCTATCCTTAGAGTATAAACCTATTTGCAGCCTGGGTATTTCAGAGTGTGGAGGTGTTTCCTAAATATAATTTGCATTTGTCTTTGCCAAAATGTATTTATAAGTTATGGAAACTTCAGTTATTTTGCTGACAGAAGTTTCACTGACACTGTTCAGAGTAAAAATGCTTTTTATGTTTGCAAATCCGTTGTGTTTGAGTAAATGGGGGTGTCCATTAAGAAACCCTTGGAGCTACTACAAACAGTATGTTTGCTTGTTGTTCCTTCAGATCCATATTCCTCTGCACAGATTAATTCCTGCTGCTAGAATAACAATGAAGGTAGAACAGACTAGCAAATAAAGAGCATAGTCATTCTCCTAATTCAAAAAAGCACCTAGGGCTTGAACACTGTGTTCTGAAAGAGCTGTGCCATGCAAACAGAGTAACAAGATACTTGTACCTGTTTACAGAAAACAAACCAGTAACATATGCTGTGAATATCAAACCAAATATTTTCATTTAGTGTAGGGATGTAAAATATCATAGTCAAACAGACAAAAAATAATCCATAAATCTGTGAAACAAAATTTGAATCACAGAAATAATGCTAATTCAGCAGGACACTCTGAACACTGAAATCTGTTTTTGCCTTCTCACAGGTGGAAGTGGGTGTGTGTCTCACTGAGGAGGGGCAAAGTGAATGCTCTCTCTGTGCCATCCTTAAATCAAACTTCATTTTCACACTCAGCTGTGTAAGGTTGTGTAGATAATTTGCAGTGTGGTCACCTGCTTTATTTGATCTTAATCTCCTCAGCAACCATGATCTGTTACATATCATCAAGGCCACAGAGAAGCTCAGAGGTAAATTTAAGAATGCAAACCAACGCCATCCCAAAATTTATCACCTTAGAAATGAAAAGATGAACTTTTAGGAATAGGAATAGCTATTCCTATTCTGACTACCAAAACTCTATGAACATGTTCCTGTTTTTACTGGGAACTTGCCTGGTTCTGGAAGGGGGTTGAGGTTGGGACATTAGGACATTAGTTACCCTCCTACCTTTTCCCAGTCTTTAAAGAATCAGTGGTGTGACTGTTTGGGAAATTGAGCCATTTCTGTAAAATGACTGTTGTCCTGCTGCCTTATATTCTTAGTCCTTTTGTCTCCTTTTATTCATGTGTCCATCTCTCTCACTGCACTTCTTGACACTTGGTCAGCTCTAGAAGGCATAATGTGAACTTGCTCTGCTTAAGCAAAATTTTTCTTCTCAGTTATTATATGAAAATGGTAAATATTGTGTTAAGCTTAGGTTAACACTCATATCTTAAGGAAATAATACCTGTGCACAAGAAGTTTCTCAGGATCCTTCCTGAACAGATTGTCTTCAGGCTGATTAGAATAATACGGGCGGTGCCAGCTGTGCTGGGCACACAAGGACTCTGCTGTTCATCTTTGAATTAGTCACCCTCACGTGGTTAATGTTCCTAAGCTCGTTGTACAAATACACACCACCGAGATGGAGGCACCAATATTTAGTACTCTAACACAGCCATTTTATAAGATAGCTAATGAACAGAAATATGTATTTTCTTTATGAATGTAGCAAAAGTATATAATTGTGATCAGTCCTGAAAAACTCAGCTAACCTAGTAACTGAAGCTGGTTTTATTGTATTTAATAGCCTTAGGATACATATAGTAAGTGTATTAGCTATTGTGCTTTATTTTATTGACATAACTCATTGACAGTGTGATTTGTCAGCAAACTAAGTGTTGGTACTCTGCATAATGTCACTGTATCATGGAACCAGTATCTTTTAAATTGTGATTCTCGTTTTCTGTTTCTAATACCAAAATACTTGAGCTACTGGTCTTTCTGACAACTGAGAATTGCAATAATAAATATAGTAATGTGGTTTGGCTATTAAGGTAAAAAATTATGAATATGTGAAGAGATAAAAATGTTTGAGAATACTTTTGCCAGCTCTTATGAAGTGTAATTAAAATTCTGATAGTTTGTGTTGTAGAACTCCGAAGTGACCTCAACATGGTCTTGGAATATATTAAGTAAATAATATAAGGTTATATTGCTTGGTAATCATTTTCTTTTTGCTGGCATGTTGCTCCTATCAATCAAAACTTTTAATTTAATTTTAAATTATAAAGAATAGGAAGGAGTATGTCAGTCCATGTAGTAAGCATCTTTAACGGGAGTGAGGAAAAAGTCCTCTCTTCAATTTAAACACAAAGATCTAAAAAGTGACTTACCTGAACTATAATATCTATGAGTGCAATGCCATCCCTGTAACTTGTTAACATTTCCACATACTTTGACTCAAACTCTGCACTTAGGAGGAAATAAGGCATTGTTATTCATATAGTAACCTACTAACACTTCACATCTCTGCCAATACTTGTAAGACTTTGCTGTTTAACAAAAACTGAAACAATGCTTAGGGAATTTTTTTCTAGTTTTCCAAAGTGATGGTGTTACACCTTACATGGTCTGCAGGTTTTAGTCACACAAGGGTGATTTTAATCAAGTTTGAACAAGGCTTCTGTCTGATCTACCTGGAAGCTGCTAGTATAGTATCTTTGTGTAGGGTCTCTTTGGAAGAGTAGTTTTAAAAACAAAATATGCTACAGAGACTGCCATTACATCCAAAATAAAGGTACATATAAGTCAGATGTATTTGTTCCTTATTGTCTGTGTTGCTCTGTTCCAGGAATAAATCAGGAAGCTCTTATGCTAGGGGCTATATAAGTTCAGAAAAAAATATCATCAAAGACAAGAAACAACTGATTCCTGTGAGCAAGTAGATCAGGACACTTTTCGTGAGGTGTCAGTATTCCAACACAGTATACCAAGGTGTTATAGCAGTAGTGGTGTAGCCATGAGGACCTAAGGACTAGGCAAGGTTTGTAAAGAATGATTTCCTTTATGGGACTGTGATAGGTGGGAAGAATAGGTGAGCCTTTGGGGTCCTCACCAGATCTAAAGCAGAAGTAGCAAACACCAAGAGGCCAAAAACAGTTACTCTGAGATTATATAAATTATGTGGCATAGTTGAGGCATGTGAGCCTTTGTGAAGAAGGTTTAAGGAACATTGGAAGAAAGCTAATGTGTTTTTGTGTGGCTGGTGTATCAGGAAGGATAAGGATTCAGTACTGGTCTGGAACTTTAGGGAGGACACCAAGGAATAGTCTCAGTGGACTAGATGGAGTAGGAGCCTGAT